ATCTTCTTGTGCCCCGTGAGAAAAGACTTTTACGGATTTATTTTAATTTTAATCTACTTCATTTGTTGCATCTGTACTACGCACCGAATTTACATTTATTGAGATATATTTAAAAGGATCGTGTGTGAAGTCTGCTAGTACGGATCCTTCGTAGTTTGACTCTTGACAGGGTTCTATAACATAATGTCGAAAGCCTCAATGTCGTCAGATTTTATGTCGACTAGCGAAAACCTCGAATGGAAAATGGTCGAATGTGTATCGTGGATTGTAACAATACGGAAGGCGTCAAAACGTTGAAAAAGTCGAATCTTCAATATTTCAAAATCCGGTTATTCCTTTCCGTTTTTTCTTGGGTCCTGAGATGATCAAGGATACAGATTTCTTGTTGGCCCTCGAGGCGACAGTCTGTCTTGCTGACCTATCACCTGTCTGGATCAGCCACGTCGGTGGTCTCGATGACGTCAGTGAGGATCTCGCGACCGTCGGTCGGGGTGGGCCGTGACCGAGACCATAACGGAATGCGTGCATTCCCAGATAGGTATCAGATCGTTGAAACTTAATCATGGGTACTTATTCGCACGTGAAAAGTGTAGGAAGGAGAAAGTGTATTGCCGTGCACGCGTCGTTTTGACTCTCGATGACGAACTGATAAAGGTATCTCCGGAAGTTCACGATACTCATGCGCCTAAAAACAGGAGAATTCGGGATGTTTTGCGTGCGTCTCTGAGGAGAAATGATCTGAAGAGATTTCATTTCCGTCGATTTCTTCCAAATGCAGCAGGATTATCTCATCCCATCGATCGCAAGTAATCGCATTCACGAAATGGTCTCTTCGTACTCCATTGGCGGAGTGTGTGATGACTGGCGTGCAGTGTGCGTAATTTTCAGTTTTGAATGCGATTTTCTCAATGCGAATGGTTATCACATTTATAACTGCCAATTATTTCTGCCTTCCTTTATGGACCATTACCTATTAATTTGCAGTTTTTCGACGTTCGGCATGACGAGACTTCATCGACAGAAGGAAAAAAAGTCAATTTCGACGTTTCTCTCATTCGACATTTTGACTCTCACCATTTCATTCATTCGACGTTCAGAAATTCCACATTTTTGGTAATCGACACTGTCGACATTTCGACATTTTCTCGGGAGACGCTTGACAGTGAGTTTCAATTAGGCATAAGTTTTCTCGCATAAAAATGAGCATGCAGTAAGGGTTTCAAGTTTATTTTTCCCCCTAAAAAAGGAACTTATCAGAGAAAATGATGCAAAACAAGCTAAAATCAAAGTAAAAGAAAACAGAGCACGAGTGCAAGCTCTTTCGTGTTTTTATTTTCTCCTGCAAGTTTCACGGAGTACTCCGTTTTTATATTCGGAAATTCTCCATCGCGTCTGAAACGCATAATCGAGGCTCTTAAATTGAGGTACGATCGGGATTCAGGAAGATTTATTAGTTGCTGCAGTGGAAGAAAGATCCGCTTTCCATCGAATTCCAAATTTTAAAAAAAGTTTGGTGGTGTATGCGTGAACCACAACTTTGAATGCAACTTGGTTGCCTGATTTCCTGAAATGATCCTGCAACACTGCCGAAATGGCTCACAGGAGCCAATTATCTTCCAGATCCAGAGTGAATTGGGAGAAAGGGGGGGAAGGGGGAAAGGGGGGGAAGGGGGAAAGGGGGGGAAGGGGGAAAGGGAGGAAGGGGAAAGGGGAAAGGGGGGCTAATGAAGAAGTTACTATGGAAGTGTATCAGAAAGAAAGGAGGTTATAGCTGACGGAAACCGGAATGCTTTAATCCGTGATTCGTTTCCTGGATCACGGTTGATGGGGTTATCTGAGATGATCATCCCAGCGAAATCCTCGCTTTCTTGCAGCGTCACCCCGCGCAGTGTGGAGATGAAAGTTTTTTTTTTTTGCCTCGATGAAAATTCGTGCTCATGCCAAGAAAGCAAATGCGGAGGGAACGGAGATTCCTTTCTAATCGCGCTCCGAAAGACGAAGTTCAACTCTTCTGCTTCGAGCTGATGCCCCTCAAGGGATTTCCCCATGGCAACTGCTCATTCGTGTGTCGTTTCGATCGGATGGGAAGTGTCAGGGACGCTCCCGGGTCTGGAAGGTGTTGCAGTCGAAAACGAACATCGACCGTTTCCTTTACGTTCTTACCGGTTTTCTTGTTCATAATGGTTACCATCTCGTACTTTTATTCGGAAGAATGTATCCATTGCGGGGTGAGTCGTTCACGCCTTCATCGCGTGCGCTCGCATAGGCGTGTCCAAAAATTCCTTGTTTGGAGATTACAATGTTTCCCATTGACTTTCGTACCTGCCGCATACCTGCTACGCACTGCTTCGTTCTCCATTCAAAATTATCCGCACGCATTACATAATGTTTCGTAGGCCTACTCCAGCCCAGCGAGCGCATGCCGCTCCGAATGACACTTCCATCTGACAACCCTTGGAGAGAGGAATGCATGGCCTGCCGATAGTCATTAGAATGGATGGATGTCATTCACGGATTACACTAACTATTCTGTACTCCATGAAAAGATCAATTAGCGAATGGAAAATGGGTTCTACACTCGGAAATTTTTATTGATTGAATTGCATGTAATGACGGAAAGTATCGACGAAATGCAGGAGTTGTTTTAAAGGTCCCAGATATGGTTCCTGTCAGGGCTGCCAGGTCGTATTCGCATTCTAAGCGGCACCGGAGGAGTGGAGAGCAGGGGCATAGACGGCGATTCCTAGGAGAACCCCCCCCCCCAGAAAAAAATTTTTCTCAACAAATCGCCGCCTATAGCAGGGGGTACGAAAGATTAAATGCAACGCGTGCGATTTATTTTTAAAATAGAGGTGCGGAGTATTTGCTGCTAGTGCTTAGCATTCTGCAAGACGTGCGAAACTCCTTGAGAAACAGTGTAAATATATATACATGCTGTCTCAAACTGTTCCATTTCAAAGTATTGAGGTATACATTTAATGTACGGAAAGAGGACTGCAAAGATCATTGTCTCGAACTCATCATTATTAGCCATACAGAGGTCGATGCGAACCGGAAATGCATCCTAAATTCGACTGGTACTGGGTGAACCTTTCTATATCCGCCTTGTTCCGATGCTGCACTTTGTGAATGCTTTCTCTCGTCGGGTTGTGCAAGCGCTTGGTCATTGGCCTAGCACAAACCAAAGAAGTGAAGTGGTCTGACGTGAGGCAATCGCATGGGCTTCGTTCATCCCCCAAGGAGGGGATTTCTCATCTGAAAAGCTCCTGGTGTTCGAGGCAAAATGGGCCAAAACGCCATCTTACTAAAAAAATATTTTATTTAAGTTTATTTCTTGAGTTCTTGGGTGGGGACTGAGTCTACTCATATTCAATGCTGTACATAAAACCAATCGTGGGTATGAGTTTTCGAAACCCCACTAGAGCTTTCTGAAAACCCTGTACGGTATTCTATCGATAGCTGTATTTCCTGTTCGTTGACGAGAAACGGATATGCTCTTAGGGGAAGTGGTCTAGGCGGGTCTAGGCCTCTCCCTCTTAGCTATGAATAGGGCTAGATTGTAAAGGCGCACATGTTAGGGGGGTGTCGTTTCCTTCTCGAGAACCACGATCCAATCTTAGCTTTACCCAGAATCCGATATGACTCAGTCAATTAGTCGACCAATTGGTCGACGAAAGAAGCGAGTGAAAATGTTCCCCCTTGTCAAAATTGGCTCTAATATATATATTTCAGAATTGATAACGGTACATGGTGACGATTTCCATCCTCGTGTTGATTCGTAGGGTGGCGTTATCTCCCGACGATTTATGAACACGGTGGTCGTGGATATCTTTTCGCTTCTACGCACTGAAACCCTTGATTCGCTACCACGCACTGAAACCCTCGATTCGCTTAGGGCCTTTATATCGGGAGGTGGCGTTTCCCTATCTAATATAATCTCGCGTGCAATTTGTCGCCATCTATCGTAATAAACACTGCATATCTGCCGTGATTGTTGCAGTCCATATAACTGAATTCCACTGAAAGCTTCGACTGAAAATTGAGATTTACTTTGCGTTAAGGTTCTCTTTTTTTTCCAAGTATTTACGTAAAGTTAAAAAAAAATTGTAACACAGTAAACCAGTGATGCACAACCTGCGGGCTGTGGGCCGCATGCGGCCCGCGGAGACCTTTCTTGCGGCCCCTGGATGCCTCCGGTCTCTAAAGATCCATATTTATATGCAGCCTATTTTGGCTCATCTTCGAGGACGTGCGGCCCTTTAACTCCTCAAACATGAGCCGAAATCACAATTTGGCCCTCTAGGGGGAAAAGGTTGTGCATCACTGCAGTAAACAGTGATGAAGATGTGGGCGCGAGTGACCAATTCATGATTCCCAGTCGAACGACTTTTAGACACACATTATGATCATGACATGAAAAAGGAACACGCGTTAAAATTTTTTTTTTTTAAGATGTCAGCGAAGACTTGGGACGATGTTTTCGGCCGCGTTTTCGATTCATGGTGCCGAGTGCTTTCTGAAGAGACAACTGCAGGAAAGTGGATTAAGATGCAGAGCAATATGGGAACTGGCTGCCCCCCCCCCCCCTTTATTTGAAAAATGTTCTTTGGCATTTGAGCTGGCGTTTTGGGATGGCAGTTAAGGGAGATAAAGATCTGGTCTAATCTAATAATATTCAATAGGCTAAAACGCACAACGACTGAAAAGCAAAATTATAATACAAGCGTGACTCCATTCGACCTTCCCACACAATTAGAGAGAACCAGTTCCTCGCTAGATCTACGCCCTTTTTGGGGAATGCCCCTTATTTAAACGTCACGACGATGAAGCGCAGTATGTAAGTTGATGTTATTCTTTGTCTACAATTGAAGATGCCAGGGGCGGGCGGGGAGTGAACGAAAGGGAGGGTCGTACCCGACGCTCCCTTCGTTTGGGCGGGAGCGGAAGAGAAACGAGGTCGAGGCCCATGCACTTCTGTGCGAGTGATTTCAGTTGTTTCGGGGAAATTGTGAGGGAATGTCCGTCTGTGCCCTCTCTGGCCCCTAACCCCGTCTTGTCTACCTTGAACACTTCCTGTCTGTTTATTTCGTAATAACCTGGTCAAGTGACTATCTCCTGGTGCCATAATCGTAATGCCACATATGGGATCATGCAGGCATGCGCTGGTCTGGCACGTCGACCATGTGATCATGACTAAAGTTGCTCTTTCTTCCTGTTGTGTAACCCGAACAGGAAACGGACAGACGTGTCCTTCCCGCTTTTTTCACCTCTGTGATTAATTAAGCATGAGTGGAAAACGAGTTCCCGTCGAGGTCGGAGATGGGACTAGACCAAGACCCATGCCATCTGGACCTTCAGAGGCGCTACGTCGATTGAGGGATTTTCACGTTGGCCCACCTTCTGAGGATTCGAAAAGGAGGGATCCAACGATGCCGAAGCATCATCATCATTTCCTGAGATCCAACTCGACGCACTTCCCATCTATTGCTGCCAAAAAGAAGTTTCAAAGTGTTTGGAACCAAGTTAAATATGGTGAGAACTTGTGATTTTTGCTAGAGCTATCCAAGTTTCAGTGCTAGGCCTAGTCCTGTCATGATTCTGTAGGCCTATGCTGTTTTGGGTGTGAAGAACTGGGTTGCGAATGGATAGGCCTTGACTGATAAACCTGGTCTAGTGAAGTGGGAAGGTTGCCAAGTCATAAAGTTGTTTTCATGGCCTGCTGATCCGAAGGATTTGTACTTTCTTTCTCAGACAGAATGTTAACACTAGTGTTTTTTTTTGTTTTTTGTTTTCCAATGCAGGCTATGTACAATGAGAATGCCAATATCCAGGGCATCCTTGGACAAAGTGCTATATCATAGAAAACTTACTCTGCAAACCCATTTCCTGTTTCATTTATTTTTTCTGCCAAACCATGGATTACCTGACTTGATAAAACTCAATTGCAGTAAATGTGTCAAATTTTGACATGGATATAAATACTACCTTCAACTTTTATTGCAGACACAGTAAAAAGCAATCTGTAAATAGAAGGCTTGCTGCTTTTGCCAGATACCTTCATGTATTCTTGTGCTAGACCTATGTGCCCTCATTCTAAGTTATGTACTCTTGATGCAGTTGCTTCTGGTAGGCTCAAATTGTTTCTTTTGATGTTACAGTAATATATATGCATGATAATCCTCAACTTGACTGTAGACTTTAACCAAAGTTGAATGAATGTTTACTTTTTCTATTCTCTCTTAACATAGGCTTTGCAGGCTGGAACATGCGAGGGTCCACTAACTTTGTGAGAAATGAGACACTGGTCCTTCTGGGTAGAGAATACAATCCTCTTAATGAACTGGATGTTCACGATGCAGATGATTCCATTGTGACAGAAGTCAGACGTTCTGAGATGAGGAAATTCAAGGAGGATTATCAATCACGCTTATGGTTCACATACCGCAAAGATTTCCCTCCCATTAAGGATTCCATCATTACAACTGACTGTGGCTGGGGCTGCATGCTGAGGACTGGCCAGATGATCTTGGCACAAGCTCTCATCATCCACTTCCTTGGTAGAGGTAGGTTCATGAGATCATAGCCTGTAGGCTTAGGCACTTCTCTCCCTCCCCTAGTAAGAAACTTAATCCTTTCCCCATTGAGGAAAAAAATTGTGACTGCTCAATAGACAGGATGTCTGGTTGGAGAATCACCCTTTTGTTGAACCCCAGATGGGTACAGCTCTATCTGGGAAAGGTTTTGGTATTACTGGTGATGTAACTGACAGTATCCACAATATGTTGCCTTGGCTATCATTATTTAGGATTGAAGTGCCACCTTAACCTTGCCAGTTCTGGGGTGTGCATAATGCAAATAGTTTTGCTTATCGTGATTTAGGTTGGCGTTGGAAGTACCGAGAGACACCTCAAGAAGGTCGTCTTCACAGGAAAATTGTGCAGTGGTTCGACGACAGTGCTGGATCAAGCACACACAGGTGTCCTTTCTCCATTCATGCCATGGTTCATGCTGGTCTGGACTATGGAAAGCAGGCTGGGGACTGGTATGGCCCTTCTTCAGTCGCTCACATCTTGCGGGAGGCTGTTGAAGCTGCCTCTCAGTCTGAGAAACTTCTAGAAGATCTCAGGGTCTACGTTGCCCAGGACTGCACAGGTCTGCTTGCAGGCCTTATGGAATTCCTTATCAATATGCTTCAGTTAGTTTTTGTTGTGCAACATTTGGAATTTTAGGCCTTTTCCTATGGTTCCCTAGGATTACATTGCTAGTCATGTCTCCATCCTTTTTTGTTCCCTTCAAAAGAATGATTTAAAAAAGACCCTTTGAAAGAACCTGAAATTCCTTTTGCAATCCACTCAGCAGTAAAAAAAAAAAAACAACAACAACTCCTTGACTAAACTCATCTACTTGGTTGTTTTCTCTCTGTATTTATCAATATTTATAAATCATGGTTAATTTTATTTTCTCTTGATACAGTGTACTTGGATGACCTTATATTGACATGTACAACGATGAAGCCATCGTTGTCATATCCAGCAGAAGCTGTAGATGCATTGAGGCCCTTGCAGGGAGCATCTCCACCTCATGCAATGATCTATCCAGATCTTGGGTTGTACCTCTCATCTGGTGATGCATTTAGGAATCCCCGTGTGCCTGCATCTGATGGCTTATACCCACAACTTGTGAGAGTAGAAGCTGAGGTAACTGCACTCGAGGAGATACATCGAAGTTGTCTCTGTCGAACTGATCAAGGTGTATCTAAGTGTCCATTCTGCTCATCTTGTGGTCGAAGTACTGAACAAGGATTTCGTCGGACTAAGAGTGCTACATCAGTGCCAGCATTGGAGCAGTGCTTATGTGAGCAATACAAAGCCATGTTTAGTCATTTAAAGCAAGTAAGAACTGAAGAGTGGAAGGCTGTTTTGATTTTGGTGCCGCTGCGACTTGGTGGAGACAAACTGAATCCTGTCTACCTCCCCTGCCTCAAGAGGCTTCTCCTCACAGAGACCTGTGTTGGCATCATTGGTGGAAGACCAAAGCATTCTCTCTACTTTGTTGGTTTTCAAGGTCCTGCTTTATATATATATATATTTTTTTTTTCCAATTGGTAGGCATAATTGGTATCTTTACAGATAATTTCAGAAAGTCTATTCCCTTGGAAATTCCATGAAATATTAGTTGTAAGACCTCCTTTGTAGGGGTTTCTTGATGCTGCAATTCAATGTACAAATTTTTTACAGGTTTTTGTAGCAATTTGGTGTCTGGTACTAATTTAACCAAAGAAAAGCTTGAGCAGTTTTGTGGGGATATCTGATGATGAGAGTGTGAAAGCTTGATTGTTCATCTACAATCAGTTTGTTTCTCTTTCTTCTGAAATATAGGCGATTCTTTGATCTGCTTGGATCCACACTTTGTGCAGTCATACTGTGACACCACAAGGGCAGATAATCTGCTGGATTCATATCATTGTCCAACTCCAAGGAAGATCTCCTGGTCCCGAATGGACCCTTCCTGCTGCCTTGGGTTTTACTGCCGCACCAAGGATGATCTCGTAGATCTCATGCTCACCGTGAAAGAGGTAATTACCATGAATTAAAGTGAACTTGCTGATCTGGATCTCATGGGACTGGCAATTTTTTATGGACTAATGAAGACCCAAATTGATAACAAAAAAAAAACCTAATCAGAAATTACTATTTCTTTTTTCTTTAAAGAAGAGAAGTTAAATTGATATTCTTTGGTATATTCTGATTTTTTCATGAATGGAAGTTGATCAGTTCAACCAGTAACCCTGGAAAAAATTTTTGCTTCAGAAACTTTTCAAAGTAATAGTACTGTATTTTGATCTTGTACTTTAATTTTGAAGAGCTTTTAAAAAGAAATTAAGGTTATTTCAAATACTTGTGCTCATAAACATCAAACAAGCATTTCTCACAATGTAGGACATATCAATCACACAGTAGATAGTATAAGGTTTATGCTGAAGGAGAGCACAAGTTTGATCAACAGTGATTACAGGAACTATAGATGCAGCCACCCTGCCACTGGCAATTGAAGCTAAAAATAAGATGTGAAAGTTCAAGCATGCAAACATATACCAGGTATTTGGACCTGGCATCTGTGATGACTGTCTCTATTTCCATGTGTGTACTCATGAAGCAGTTATCTATAACTTTTGAGTTCTTTTGAGCTTAGGAAAGTGAAACCTATTCTAAAAGTGAGAAATTAAAAGCCATTTACATTACCTACAATAGTACCATTCCTTTTTGTTTTTTGTCAGTGCATATTGCCAAACAGTGATGGGAGCCAAGGATACCCACTGTTCCACTTCAGCAAGGGGCAAGCTGTGAGCATGGAACCACCTCACCTTGTTCCAGAAGAACGCATTCTCAGCCTTCATCGCCGATTTGTCAATCATCTTGGGGAGATTGAAGAAACAGAGAACTCCGAGGATTTTGTTTTTATTTGATAATATTTGTCACCTGCTCTCAAGTTTTTGTTTTCCCCCTCTCATTATTTTTGCAGTTGAGCTTAATGTTATTCTCTTCTTCCTATTAGACCTGTGGAAGCAATAAGTCTTCAGTCATTCAACATTAAATAATACCTGCAAAGGATGCTGAGAGTATCTGGGTTAGCTGTAGTTCATTTGATCTGTTGAAAAATATAGGACTTTGGTTCAAACACGAAAGCCTATTGTGTAATGTTAAGCTCAGTTTTCCTGTTTGTAAGTCCTGTTTCAGTTTTTTTTCAGCTGATGTACAAATTTTGAATTTTGCTTTATTTTCTTGTGAATCATTCTTGTTTGAGCTCAGGGGTCTCAGGTGACATTTATTTTTGTGCTATATTCATCCAGGTTTAGTAATGAAGAACTTGCTCCCCAGTGCATATTTTGAATAATGTCATTTTTGTCCCTTGCAGTTCCAAGCGACCAAAAGGATTGAATTTTAATTGTCAGACAGAGAACTGAGGCTGAGAACATTCTCGCATTGAGATGAATACCTTGAAGACAAAAAAAAAACTGTCAGGAAAGGCTGGGACTGGGTTTACTGGTCTGGGCAACAAGGGGAAAGGGGGTTTATAATTTCCTTCTTATAATTAGTGTGATCCATCTCATCATTTTCTAATTGTAAAAGGGTGTGGCACAAATTAAGGACCTATGAAATTTAGCCCTTAACCGGTTTGATTTTTGGGGATAGTTTTTGACAGACGTATAAAAAATGATATTCAGTGATGGGCTGAGAAAATTTCCTGGCGTTATTCGTTTATGCATTTCTTTGAAAATGTTTTTACTTAAATGCAAAGTGGAGAGAGTAGAGAATGTTTTCTTTTGAAAAATGTATGCATATTGCTCAAGAAACAAACAGTATAGAAACAGTTTTCAGGGTCTATGTTTGATGGAAATGGTAATCGGCTTTTCTCATTTGTTGTTGAGTTCAAGGGAGGGAAGGACTTGTCTCTTGGGCATGTGCGTGTAGGAGCGTCTCTGTCCTTCAATATCCGCTGAAGGGAAAATGGGGTAAGTAGTCAGGCTGGAATGAATGAATGGGAAATATGTATTTTTTATATAAATAGGGTGGTTAAAAAAAAACGCCCTACCGTTTTCTATGGGAAAAACAGTGTTTCATAAATGCAGCAAAAAAAAATTCAAATTCGATACATGATCGATATTTGACAATTCAATGACATTTTCAACTTTAACTTTTCAGGGGATTTTTGGATCCAGCTGATACTTGACAGAGAGGTTCATGTGTCTAAAAGGTTTTTTTTTTTCACTTCTGCAAGATGGTGCTGTATCCCGATAGAGGGCGCTGCTGTTGACCGGGTGACTGAGGGTGATAGAAAAAAGCTCCACTGTTTTCAAAGGGAGAAAGTATGATCGTTGTATTTGAGTAAAAAATATAGATTCATAAACTTGATATTGAACATATAGGAGGTGTTGAGAAGATTGTCTTGGTTTTTGTTTCTGGACAATTCTCTGAGCCATGTATTGTCCCATTACACAGTTTACAGGTGGAGCATTACACCTTTTTTTTTAATCACCCTCAAACATCCGGTCAACAACAGCGCCATCTTGTGGAAATGAAAAAAAAAGACTAATGAACCTCTCTGTCAAGTATCAACTATCCGACTGTCCCTTGAAAAATTAAAGTCGAGAATTTCATTGAATTATGAGACGGTCGAGCATAGGCAATCACCTCAGTTGAGGTGAAATGATCCACCTCTAATCACCTTTTATTCACTTCTAAATGAGCATTGCACGACTTTGGCAGAGGTGCTGAAAAAAAGGTGGCAACCATTTCAACACCTTTGTTGCAGTCAAATATCGATCGCGTATCGAATTTAATTGTTTTTGCTACATTTATGAAACTGTTTCTCCCATAGGAAACGATAATGCGTTTTTTTAACCACCCTATATACAGGTATATAACGCGCGTCGTCAATAGAGACCTTCCCCAACCCCGCTTCAAGCTACTCCCATCTTATTTGAGACGCTTGAACGAACTGTTCATAAGGAATTAATCCTCAAATCTCGTAAAGTCGCTCTACTTGAAGAGATTTTATTCCAGCAGCCAGTCATTTATTTCTTTTTTTTATGACAATCATTCCTAGATCGAGTCGCTCGTTCACACCACTATACAAGCCCATTCCGTCCTCGTCGAACCAACAGTGCTCCGTACAACAAATTTCATCTAGATTTTCGGGAAACCATGTACAGATATTGGATGTGGCACCATGTGACCAAAAAATGTCCAGATTTTGCACGACTATGGACGAAACTCTATGCGAGATATCTTCAGGATATTTACGCGATGTCACGTGTAGGTCATTTTCTGAAATTAAATAAGTTATATTGGCTTTTCAGAGGCCTGTGCCATTTTGTCATTTTTGCACGACAGCAAATGGCAAATGAGTGGGTGTCTGGCTGCTCTGTTTGTACTTTCGTAGGACTGGGTTGGTCCTGCGAAATCCCCGCACTGTCCATCGTGTGTGGAGGGTTTCATCCAGGGTTTGCACGCTGGCACACTCGCTTTTTTAACGCGGGGATAAAAGGCTGAAACTCGGGTTCTGAACGACAATTTTGCTAGAATGTTTGCGTTATCACCTGCATTAGATGCCACTCCTTGTAAATTCGCTTTCATCACCTATGCTTGTGAGTTTCAGAACTTTTTTTTTACCACCCGGTATTCAAGGCGTTACACCTCAGGATTTTCAACGGATTCGGTACGAGAGGGCATGAAAAGCTGATGCGACTTATTCTAATCTCCCTGTGTGATACAGGGTGATCCAAAGAGGTGTATCCAAAAGTAATTTATTTTACAAACCAAGCCACTTAAGTTAGGGGACTTCAAACTTGGTACTGTACTTAATATTGTTCTTAAGTTTTTGTGCGCAACGTCATACCTCAACCTGCATGTTCACGACACAACCCGATGTGACGGGATAGTTCAGTCCAAGTTTAAGCTAGCATGTTGGGGGTATAGTGGCAATTATTGCAATGATTTTCTCTTACAAATTAGCCTAATCAGTAGGTCCTGAAGCGTATAGCCTGTCCTTTACATATCCCCACAAGAAAAGGTCTGCTGTTGTTCGATCCGGAGAGTTAGGTGGTCATTAATTGGCCCTTCTCGGCCTGAAGCTGCATGGTGCAAGATCGCATTTACGGACCTTTCTTCTTTCCTGACAAACGGTTCGTTCGGGATCGTACAGTATTTGGATATGCTGCAACGGTATCTACTGCTTCAGCTTGACGAGGACGGCATGGACACCATTTTTCAGCAGGATGGTGCTCCTCCACTCTAGTACATAGATGTCCGTAATCACCTCGATGAGACCTTCAGCAACAATTGGTGTGGCAGAGGAGGACCAATACCGTGGCCAAATATCTGATTGGAAAGAACAACAGCAGACCTTTTCTTGTGGGGATATGTAAAGGACAGGCTATACGCTTCAGGACCTACTGATTAGGCTAATTTGTAAGAGAAAATCATTGCAATAATTGCCACTATACCCCCAACATGCTAGCTTAAACTTGGACTGAACTATCCCGTCACATCGGGTTGTGTCGTGAACATGCAGGTTGAGGTATGACGTTGCGCACAAAAACTTAAGAACAATATTAAGTACAGTACCAAGTTTGAAGTCCCCTAACTTAAGTGGCTTGGTTTGTAAAATAAATTACTTTTGGATACACCTCTTTGGATCACCCTGTATCACACAGGGAGATTAGAATAAGTCGCATCAGCTTTTCATGCCCTCTCGTACCGAATCCGTTGAAAATCCTGAGGTGTAACGCCTTGAATACCGGGTGGTAAAAAAAAAGTTCTGAAACTCACAAGCATAGGTGATGAAAGCGAATTTACAAGGAGTGGCATCTAATGCAGGTGATAACGCAAACATTCTAGCAAAATTGTCGTTCAGAACCCGAGTTTCAGCCTTTTATCCCCGCGTTAAAAAAGCGAGTNGCGCAGCCGCCAGAGTTCTATTGGAATGGCATCCATAGTTTGCATAAACGTTGGCGTGAAGTGATAGAGGCCAATGGTGATTACATTCATGATTGAGATGATTTTGCTTTTAAATAAACTGGGTTGTAATAATTGTTCATGAAATTCCGAGAACTTTCTTTCCAATCAGATAACTCCCAGGATCAGATAACTCCCTGGTGTGACATTGCGCACAAAAACTTGATATTATTTCTGCTTTCTTTTTTCTTCTTGGACGAACCTGCTCGACGACGAACAGATGGCTAGGGATCGCGCAAAGGGATTCCACGCGGGAAGCACTGGTAAAAACTTTCCCAATTTTCTGTTTTCCCCCTTACGTCATTCCTTTGTTTTGTCGGACACAATTCTGAAACTCGAAAAATATCAAACCTGCCATGCGTGAGTCAAACACGAGTATGTAGCCCATTCAAGATCCCATCCAGGAGATCTCAGCCATTATTGCATCCGACATTTTGGATTTCTCTTTCGGAAACTGGACAAGGGTTACCCTAAATATTTCTGCTTTCATAGAGACTACCTTCACAAAATGTACAAGATACATAGAGTAACGTGTTCCCAACAGAAATCCCAAATTCATCCAAATCAGCTCTGCCGGCGCAAGGCTTTGAGATCCTATTTTTCCAATTTTCATTCAAAGCAAATGAAAAATTTTAATTGGACAGGGTACTTTTATCCATTTGGAATGGTTAAACTCAGCTTGCTTCTTTCTCTGATGTGAACCAAGGGATGCGAGCAAAATTTGACAGAACTCTGTATTGACTGGGGGACATGTCCACGACTTGTTTAATTTTACATTTTTAATTCAAGAATTCAGTTTTGTCAAACTTCCAAAAATTTGAGGATACAATTTTTTTAATTTGTTCTTCGATATCTCCCCAAAGTAAAATTTTATAGCATGGCTAAATCTGAACCTTTTTAAAAGTTAATGTTCGAAGGGTCTGTGGTGCCCCATTCCAGGGGCACAATGGGCCATCATAAGCTGAATGTAGGACAGTGGTGACCATCTTGTCATTGTATTTCATATCTCTGGGATCATTACATTGAACTCTTTTATTTTTTCATTCATCATGTGGCTGAAAAACTGAAGGTCATAATGGAAAGTACATCTCAAAAGTTAACTTAATAATACTACAAGAAAGTCAAGTTGTAGAAAAACAACCCTTGTGCTTCTCCCCCAAATTGTTGAAGAAAAATTTATTTAAGACACCCTTTTTAATTTGTTCAAATTACATGAAAATGTAAGCAGGAAACGACAAGTGAACGTGCATTGGTTTGTGGAGGCATACATATGCAGTTTTACAAACATCTTTCATTCCCAAGGTGTAGGGGAGATGGTCCATTGTGCCTCACCCTGCTGTTGAGAGTATTAGATGCTGCAATGGATGAGCCCTAACCAGCATGATCTCTGGCACCTGTCCACTTCCTTCAGGCAGGAAGCAGATTGCTTGGCTGGGAAGCACTTATTCTGTGTTAGAGAATAGAAGTACAAGGGGCACAAGTCCCACTCTTGAATGGATTCATTTCCATTCCTGGCAGCCTCATTCATTGAACAGTTGCATTTTCTCTGCCTGTATAATTCAAGCATGATGAGGTAGATATCTTTTTGAAGGAACAGCATTGCATTTTAAAAAAGGGAAATTTTATTTGATGGAGCTTCATGGAGGAAGTACGTTTTCAGAAATCATCCACCTTCAGTTGCTAAGCTTGAAGTGAGGGAATGCATGCACAAACATGGTGAATAGGAAAGACAAGGATACCATGTAAAGATTAAAAAACTACTTTTTCTTTCCCTCAAAATGCTCTTCAAGAACTTATCACAGACTGGAAGATCACACAAGAGCAATACAGACCAGATATTTTTTTCATCATATTTTCCATCCAGGCTTCCATTATATCCATTAAGTATATTTCAAAATTTTATTTCAGGATGTAGATTTGGTCACTTCCTGTATTTTCATTACAATGATAATCATAAAGGCTAAATAAAAGGTAACTTGAATATGACATGAATTAGGAGATATAAAATAAAATACAGGCAAAAAAAGGACTTGGATCAGAGGGACATTGAATTTGACACAGGGAGGAAAGATAGACCTAATACATGCATTATTATGCCAATATCTGTATGAGAATAGCATTTTTGTTCAATCATAGGTACAAACATAGAAACTCATTGCCAACTCCCTTCACAAGTATTATCATAGGCACTTCATCTTGAAAGACAAGAGATGCTGACACTCAAGGAAGGAAACAATACAGAATGAAGATTCAGATCACCTGCCCACTTCTTCTGAGGCTGATCTTGACATGCTGTCATTGATGGTGCTGTCAATCTGCCCTGCAAGATGAAGTAGACCTCGTGCAAAGTCCAACCGCTCATCCATCAGTGCTGAAAGCTCTGGATGATGGAGGATGGATGCCACAAACTGGTCAGAAGTGATGAACCAATGCTCCACATCTTTCACCCCACGTAAGGAGGAAAAGACATCTGAGATGGACGGAGACATTGAATTTGTGGTAGCTGAAGTGCTTTCAGATTTTAGATCGCTTCCACTCTCTGCAGATGATGATGATGCATCTAGCCAATGGTTTAAAGGATCACCTCTGGTCAAGTTTTGACCAGCAAGTTGGAGTGTTGCTGGAATGCTCTGGGAACTACCAGCCGAGGACAAGAATGACACTGATGATGATGAAGTCATGCCATGAGGGATGTCACTGGCTGACTTGCTGCGAGATTTCTCCAACAATGGATGGGGAGACATCAATGGGGTGTTGAGATGTAAGGAATCTGAAGATGAACTTGCCTTCATCTTCTCATCCATCAGTTGCTGGATGAGGATTGCACGACTCTTCTTCCCAGTCTCACCAAAAGACAGCAACTGCTGGCCTGCAGTACAATAAATATTTCCATGTTTTCTAATGCCTCAAGAAATACACTTCCTCAACACTGGGGGGTTCTGAGACTCACCAACTTCTCGCAAGGCTTCAGTGAGGCTGTGATGCTTGGAATTGTCCTCAACTAGACTGAAGAGACACCTGAAGGTGTCCATGAATTGATCATGAAGCATGAAGGGGATCCCAGGAGCTGAGATTAGACTTCCCTGTGCTTGATTCTTGAACAACTCACGTCGTACTGTGTTCACAGAATAGAATTCCATCTTCAGCAGCTCCTCTGTTTGAATAGAACAAGCAATCTTGTTTTCCATTCCATGTCACCATGATTGATAGCTTTAATTGATTCTGGACCTGCTAGGCCTTACGTTGTAGTTTGGAAGCAGGCAGATTTTGCAGTATGTCCAACTCTGAGCAATCAGCCTTGGAAGGTGAGGAAGATTTGCTCTGTGTAGTGGAAACACCCTTGGATGAGGAACCTGTGGCCTGCACACTACTCTCTGAAATGGTGGAGATGGTGATGAAGGATGTGCCAGAGGATGATGTAGACGTGTGCAGGGTCTTGGTCTTCACTTCTACTGGACTCCCCTTTTGAAAGTATTCTTCTGCCTCCATCCCAACTTCAACTGCAGAAATGACATTTCACAAAAAATTATGTTCTCTGGAATGGATACAGGCATCAAGAGCATACTCACAATAATCATATCGTGTTTCTGAGCCTCTTAGGGAAGGCACATGGAGACAATAGAAGAGTCTCAGTTTCTGTACTGCATCTCCATAGCATGTGATGTCAAGAAATCGAATCACTTCCAGAAAATTGATCATGTCATCATCATTGAAATCCATTAGCTGCAAAATAGGAGATGGGTAATAATCAGGTAGTCACTCTTGGAATCTGCATACTCTAATATGACAGAAATTCCTGTCAACATGATGAACTGAAGGGGTACAGCCATACTCGAAAGGCTCGCTTGGCAAGAACAGGAGTAAGTGGGAGATGTCCCCAAGGAGTCAAGTTCTGGAATACCACCGTAAACATCTGGAGATCCATGGTGAAGTTTTCATAAACAGGACATAGTCCCCCAGCCCCTTGCTGATCAGCCAGCTCAGTTTCCATCATCTGTGTCATTCGAGGGGTGAGTTTCTCACGGACCAACTGGAAGATGCCCTGTTGGAAAGGTCAATTTATAATTTGATGCACAGGAATATTTTACCAGTTGAATAGGATCAGAAAGGTGAGTACTTACCTTGAGTTCATCTTCCTGCAGACGAGTAACACCATCAACAGATCTAAGAAGGCTTTTCATCTGAGCATCCTCAAGGCTCTGAACAACATGCATACGATGAACCAGTCGCATCTTCTCAATCTCTGTGTTCTTGAGCCATTTGTAGTTTTGACATGCCTTCTTCAACAGATCCTGGATCTTCACAGAACCCTAGAACACAGATCATATTACAAATTTGGGATTCTCCAAGATGGAGCACTAGGGACAAGAAGAGGAAAATTCACCTGTTTCTTTGGAGGATGTGAAATGCCACTGATGGGAAGGTATGGAAGTGTGCACTCAGAATTGTGAACGCTTTCTAGGTACTCAGTGAGGAGGGCCATGGCATCACCTTCATCTCGGCACCGGAGCAGCTTTTCCTGGTTCTCTTTCAAGATGCAGAGTGCCAACTGAAAGATCACTTTCACTCCCTCATGGAAAAAGCAGTCTAGCACTTGGATTGCACTCCCAAAGGGCATCACACTGTTCAACACCAGATCCAACAGCATGACAACTGATTTCATACAAAAGACTGTGAACATGGGAAAGGTAGTAAGGCTGTCAAGAATTGGTACCTGAGGAAAATGGTAAGGAACCATGATAGAGAGATCATTTTAATCATGCCAAAGTGGTGAAGGGAATCATGGAGCTCAGGAAGGTGTTTCTTCATCAGCTCCTCCAGCACTGCCTATATATAACAACAATCATAAACATAATAGCAGCTTCATCCTTCCTCTAAAACAAGAATAGAAACCAAGCCACAGAACTGAACACACCTGATCAATGAGGGCCCCAACAACCTTCGTATTGTAATAGTCGGGTAGAATGCGCTCACAAATGGCAACCAATAGCCAAAAAGAGGCTTCCTCTGAACAATAGAGGAGTAGGACTGCAGACACAATATTCATGGCTTGACAGTAACCTGCAGATAATCAACAGTGGTGAAAATGGTATCACTTCATAATGAGTAGATATTCAGTAGTCATCATGAAAGTACACACCGATGCTTGGATTGCGATGAGCATATGCTGTGAGAATACGACGCAAGGCATTGATCCCTTCCTCCTTCTGGAAAGCTGGGTGCTCTGGCAATGACCTATGCAAATCCCTTTCAATTTCATCCTGGACTAGATGCCTCAACTTTTGATCCTTGCATGCCAACTTTATGTATTCATTTGGCTGGGTCACCCAGTCATGAATGGCACCTACATAGAGAATTAAATGAATTGCAGCCCCTCAGCACTGCTGGGAAGAATAGAGGAGACGGAATTGGCAGCTGACCAGAGAAGATGAGCCACATTTCTCCTTTGAAGAAGTCAGGGATCCCATTCATGACAAGCTCACTAAGTTCAGGAGTCTGATACATTGAGACCCCTCGACCATACCGAGAAAAGTATTCCAGCCATTTCCTCTCCTGAGCTACTTCCTTGATCAAGGTTGAAGATGGAATCTCAAATGTGATGCCCCGTGTGATGAGAGGAGGCTGAAACAGGTCCTGGATTTCTGTTCCCATTTCACAGTTCATGAATAATCAAATTATTAGAGGGATGGATTGGGAAGCCACACAAAGTAGATGATCATGCATGGGATAAAAATATACCTTCAGAAAGTGGAGGATCATACTTATGTTCGAGGGAAGTGAATCGTTTGACAAGACACTTGGGGAAGTCCTTGACATCTTTTTCCACATTTTCTCCTGACATTCTTTGTCCTCTTTTTGGGCTGCTATAACCTGTAAATGTAGGCCACTTATAAGCAATTCTTTTGACAAAGGAAGGTCTTCTGGAGATAGATCATTCCTAGCAAACAGTGAAGTTCCAATTTCGTTTCAGTTTTAAAAGCCTAGTGGGTTATGAGGATCAGTAGCATGCCCAGAAAATTCCAATAGAGGGAGGGGGGTTGACATGAAAAATTGGTAACCCACCCTGCCACATATATGTCCTAATTTTAAAAATTTTTGAGAATCAAACCTGTAAAATGTATCTCAAGGGGGGATTATGACCCCCAAACCTGCCCCCCCCCAGGGCATGCCACTGATTAGGATACTTCATGTTTTGCCACTTCTGATTAAATTCCTTCACCTTTGGAGTCTGACAGGAAAAACATTGTACAAAACAAAAGAAACAGAAATATTCACCAGCACCATGAATATTTTAAATTTGTTTCTCTTGGCAATTTTGCAGCAAAAAAAAACTGAAGCCTAGGAATAGTGTATTCCTAGGGAACAAAGACATAAATCAAATTTACCATCAAAGGAAGCTCTTCTTGAAGTTGAAACTTTTTGAGCCTGTGACCCCTTCTGCTCCCCTGGGTCACTCAGAAGACGATGCCTCTTCTTCTCTCCACTTGATTCACCTGCCACTTTGGATAACTGCAAAAAAGAGGAATTTATGAGAAATAGATTATCCTTCCTATGTTGATCAGAGAGACAGGATTCACAGTAGTAATCAGCCTCACTTGAGCCAGGTGACCAGAGAAGATATGAGCTTTCTTTGCTATTTGTTCCTCACTGGATAGAATGCCAGTCTTCAATGTCAATACCGTTCTGGAATGAGTTTGAGCATGAACGTAATGAAGATGAGGTTGATTGGATTCTCAAGAGGAAAATACTATGATTGGCATACACTGTTGATGCACAATACTCACTTTTCTGGAAGTGCATCTCCCTTGAAATCAGTGAGTTTTCCAATGAGGAAATCAATATCAGGCATGCTATGAAGGATAACTTTCTTCCCATCTGTGAAGGACACCTGCAACCCTTCCTTCCCTGGGGGTACAACCTTTTTCAAGCGGACCTTGCTGACTTCTTTCACATTGCGCAGGGCCATCACTGCTTTCACAAATCCTAGAGGCTATGAATTCATGACATATAAGGATTCATCCCCATTGGATGTCTATCCATGCTAATTACAAGATCATGTCAACTGACAATATCAGAGGAAGAGGAGAAGCAGATATAGTTGGGAGACACAAAGAGGGTCCCAGGTCGAGATCTCTGGTCATATGGACAATAAAGCTGACAGGAAATGGTCCCATCCAAGCCTTCACTCAGGGGCAAACGAAATTCCTCTTGATAAAATTCTGACTTCAACCTTGCCTTCAGTTCTCTGTGAGTCAGGGATATTCGCCTCATGTCCCTGGGCCTTGAAGAAAGCACAGAGGAAATGGAAGAATAGTAGTTTCTCCCCTGCAGCACCAATGCAGGTCTAAATCATTCACTCACTTCTCTTTTCTATGGAGTTTCTGGTCCAGTTTAAAAGGCCCTTCCTCATTCATGATCCTACATATATCATGAATATAATAATATGGTACATGAAAATAAATTCCAACTTAAAGTAGTTGATGACTTATGGAATCACTCACTTGCGCATAGTCAAATTGGCCAAATGTTGGACAAGCTCAAACGCCTCGGAATGGTTAAGGAACATTGAAAAACAGTGCTACCAAGAAAAGCAATAATAAAAAGTAGGTAGATATAACAAAAAAAAACCTTGCAAACAAGTCCAGATGCAAATATTTATTACCTGGGCATGTCTGGTTGTGACAATGATGCGGTTTGTTGAAAATACCCCAGATGGCTTCTTCTTTTCCAAACAAATAACTTCAGTCCATTTAATGTTCAGCTTGATCTCATTTCCCATGACATTTGAGTGGAAGAACAAGTGGTCCAGTGTAAGGTAAATCCAACCTTGGCGAGGCAACCATCCTTTCCAGTAACTGAGGAACATTCCCACACCAATATATAACATATCTTCCAGGATTCCAAGAAGAGATTAGTTTTTGAAGCAGACTGACCTGCAAGAAAAGTAGTTCACCAACTTCTCTGTCTTTTGTGTCAAAAAGATGGCCTTGAGCTTTGCCTGAGCAGAACGGATGTCTTCTGGCTCTCCTTCTGAAATGGTCAAAAAGCAGTTTAATAGTAAAAACAAAACAATAAAAAAGTGGTAAAACACTCCATCAAGAAGGATCTTCAAATATACTCAGTTCACACATAATGCTTCTTACCATCAGGCTCAGAGGGACTCATCTGATTATGATTTGCTTCACCCAAGAGAGACTTCACTTTGGATATGATGAATTGAGTAACTATCTCTGGTTGTTCCAGGCCTTCCAATTCAGGCATTACATTCTGCTCTAACCATGCCCAGTGTTCTTCAATTTCATCCATTGAAACACCCGAAGCCAGGAGGTAAATGCCATTGGGATTGGTATAATGAAGCAGACGATATGGAGGAGTGCGGGAATCAAACATGATATCCAAGGTACCGGCTAGAAATGATGAGAGGCCTCTCTTAGCAGCACTTCGTCTGGTCTGTACCATGAAACACATGTTTGCACGATCTACAACCCACAGTCCTTTGTCCAGAGACACTGACTTAGGATGGACCCACATGTTCAAAATATCTACTCACAATCTCTCTTTTGTTCAATTATGACTCTCACTTCTCATCAGCTTAACAGCTATCCAAAACTCTCCCTTTACAACTAGGGGAGGGTGTGACGTCAGCAATAAGTTCCAGTCTTGTTTGTCAACAATCATGCTACACATATAGGCCTTTAGAGCAGAGCCAAAGTTCAGCTGAAACAAAAGCAAAAATTATCACAGATTCAGAGAGAACTAGGCAAGTTGCAACTAGATATACTTAGGAGGAAGAATAAAGAAAAAAAAAGGAAAGATAGGAGGTGTAAGGCTGAACCAAGCAATGGATTACAGAGATATACACATATGGATACTGAGGATGGGGAGAGAATGGGGTTCTTTGAATGCATTGGGAAAGTGATATTTATAAGTATCTTATGGATATTGGTCATAACTGAAAGACTTCTTACTTCAAGTGATCACAAGTAGGAGTATGCAGTTTGGCAAGTCTCTCAATCAGCAAAAAATACACTCACTCCCTGACTTAAGTTTCTGAGTGCTGCTACCTTAGTTAAACAGAATTATAAACAAACATAGGCCCAACATTTCCATGGTGGTCCAACCTTGGGCCTATATTTGTCCAAAATCTATGCTGCTTTGATAGTTCACTGAGACTGACATCACAGAAAATGTGCAAGGTGCATTGGTGTCTGAATATGTACAGCCATGGATGTGATAGTCTTCAGTGGAAGGCATCACATTCTCAAATCCTATTCACATCCAGAAGGTGGTCATGAGGAGGGAAGCATACCATAACACCATGGGCCTCCATTGAAGATGGAAAAAGCCTTCTAACAGTGTAGAATTTGTCATGATCAAGGCATGGAACACCCAATAATGAAAGCAAAAAGAAAGGATGATATCCTCTCAAGAGCTCTAAGGAATATTCTTTTTTTTTTTTTAATGGGATATTAGGGGGTTATGGTTAAGGGCATACCCCCTAGGGATATTGTGTTGCCCCTAAAGTGAGGCCAGGTTAGGTTGGTGTTTGTTATGAATAAAAGCAATCCCAATGGATGTGGCATGTTTCCAGTTGAATTCATCTAGAAAAATTGGAGGCTGGGAGAGTGAAATTTCTCCAAGGATTTGCACTTAGCCATCACCATGAATAGGGCTTGTGTTCTTTTTCCAGAAGATTCTGGTTGAAGAGTGATGTACATAATATTGCCTTTCCCTCCTCTTAAATCATGAATATGCAGTAAATCAAAATTATTCTGAAATCAGAAAGGTGGACAGCAAAAGTGATTTTATATTCCTGCAGGTGTCCAAAGATCCTACTTCATAAATAACATAAATTATTCTGACATATTAAATTACAATGACACCAATACCAATAAAAAAAATACTTTCCTCAACAAATGATAACTTTTATATTTAGCATATTTACCGGTTACCTCTCCCACAAAATTGTGACTAATTACAAACAGAAATGCATAGGTTGGGCATGCCTAAAGCAAAAATGTCAAGGTCTACATTGGTCTAAGTCTATCGTATGGGTTGTCCAAAAGGGAGGCACCAAGCAGGAACTGGTATGTTTCCTAATATTAACCCAATGAGCAAATATCTTAATATTTAAATGTAAAAAATCACACTAAGCATACCAGTCACTGACTTGCAATTGAATTCGTTCCTCCTTTACTATCGTGCATTTTTAATGCAAGATGCATGCAAGGAGGTGAGATGTGTCCTGTTAAAGAAGTGGCATTAGGCCTACAGGTACCACGTTTAAGGCGACACGAATTCACTTGGAAACGAATGTCGAGGCACACTTATGACTTTCAATATGCGCTCTCTAACAAATTCTGCATCCTGCGGGGTTCCATTTTCACAGGGTTGCAAAAAATCTCTCGTATCCCCTGGAGTCGGAGTTACTTTATTTCAATTATATCTAAAATAATGAGATACTAAGTACTTCAATCGAAGGCGACCTTTAATACAAAATTAATGCATAAGCTATAAGGTTCTGCAATTTACCATCGCTGGTCCACAACCGCTACGAAGCTTTAGGCTTTAATACTCAACCGTATCTGAGCGGACCAATCACGTAATGCCGTCAGAGGCGGGAAAAACAAATAAGTTCCCATATAATCCATACTCTTCCGTCTCTCTCTCTCTCGTTCATGTAGTTCAGAGAGCGGAATGGACGAGATAAAGAAGGAAACTCCAATGGATGAAGTATGGGCCAGAGTGAAGAAAACCGTCGTGGAACTGACAGAAGAACTCAGGCTGAAACGGGTAAGGGACAAGTTTCTTTGCATTGCTTATCTGCAAGTCTTCTGCGTCTTGTATTTCCAAATTCAAGTTGTGGTGCATCCCTAATTCCGGCAGTGAACAATAATTAAGCACACGACGTGCAGCACATTACGTTATTGCAATTAGTCACCTGTTCAAGGGTTATGAAGATCAAAGGATAACGAGTTAAAATCTCATATCCAGAAACTTCCAAGAACTGATTCCAAATTTTCGTAGAAATATGCCTTCCCTCCCCTCCCCCTCCAACAAAAAACTCGTGCCACATCCTATTCCGAGCTGATGTGCCTATTCCACTTCACTCCCAGCTTAAGTTATCATCGGCCGACGGAAGACGAAATCCACTTTTTCCTTTTTCCGCAAGCAGTGGAGCACGCAAGGGGGTGTTCGAGTCCGACTCCCCATGGCCTATGCTCCCCCCCTTCGCGTCATTCTAGTGCCCTGCCAGAATAAAATGAACACCCCTGATAGTGAGTAAAATTTAATTTGCTAATCTTGCGGCCAAAGAATATGCTACCAGATATACAGGGGGTATGTGGTCCATTGTATTGTAATTGTATCACAGATTAGGAAAGTTTATTCGTTATTAGGGGTGTTCATTTTATTTTGGCAGCGCACTGTACTTCTGCAATACTGAGCACCCCTCCTGCGTAAATCCTGCGTCCATCGTTCGCAGACTTTGACTATTCTCGACAGGAAGTGATGCGGATTCGGCGAGTCAGCTCGGAAGACGATGGAACTAAAGTTCAAGACTGGGATATTCCATCACCACCCAGGTAATACTCTGACGTTGTGACAGCGTTGCATAAAAGTAATAATGTTGTGTGGATGTACGAGTGTGTATGCTGTCACCCTGATGTTTTGACAATATTGTTACGATATCTTGGCCTCAACATTAGGTAAATAACTAAATGTCGCAACAAAAAAAAAAAACATTATAATAAATTCACAAGGAATAATCGTCAAAGAGATTTAACATTCTAGGGGCCTTTGAATATTTTTTAAATGCAGAGCATCAAATGCTAAACATTTTTAATAACGTCGTCCCAATGTTGTCATTCCTTGTCCAAATGTCCGGATTACCTTCCAGGTAACATACATCTGTAGTGACACCGTTGTGGAAATGTACCACAACAAATGAAAATTTTTGGCTACATTGTAGAAAATATTGTTACGATCTGAATGTCCCTTTTATGATGTCGCAACATTTTCCGATAACGTTGTGACAATGTTTGCAAAATAATAAACTCACCATCCAAGTAGGTTCTACCAATCGACGCCAGATGGCAGCCCAAGGCCGTTTTGGCGAATATCCCTTTCATGTACCTGAAATGTTCCCCTTATTTTTTATTTCGGTACCTTGTCTTTTCCCACGTAAAACTCGGAAAAGTTTTGGAAGTCCCTGATAGACCCGTTTAACTGGGTTACACGGCGGAAGGACACCCCAGGTACTTCTTGCATTCATGTCGAAGAAAACATGCGAAACATGACATTCCTCTATGGTGGAAATTACTCTGAAAGCTTCGTTTTAACTTCCGGAGGTAAAGGAGTGTAAACAGCTTCTCCGCAAAGTGATTTTATCATGGATCACTCCCTCTGGGAGTTGTCCGGAATACGTACTCATCGTGAGACTTCCCGCTTACCAGAGTTATCCTGGCGGGCGGCAGCGTGACTAATACGTACACGGTACGAGGCAGAAAGGGTTAAACGGGAAGTTAGTGTTTCCTTGCATAATGGCCAAAGGAACCCTCTTGGCTAAAGATTCAGGAAGAGGCTTTCCAGGCTTCTGGGGAATATGCAAGCCCGTGAATTTCTCAATGCAGCTGCCTCTCCGCCTCTTAGATCTGCGCAGAAACTCATTTTTGGGGTGGAACGGCTCGCAATATAGGGTACGCTGTGCAAGTAGACAGGGTAGGGAAGCAGGTCTGTGGCACGGGAACCCGTGCACGAGCACGACATCACGAAATCCGAAACTTGTGAAAATATCCTATGCACTGAAAATCTTCCTTTTTGAGATGGGTTTTGTGAATTCGATGTCCGGCCATCTCTCATTAGATCATAGTTGTCATGAAAATCCCTTTTCAGGTCAACATCATTCTCATCTTTTTCGTTCCTCGCGATCCCGGTTCACCCTCGCTGTATTTTCCCTGTTCAGGCGTATGAGTTTTATTAGAGTTCTGGTATGTAGGAAGGTCTTAATAGCCAATGGATAGATATGTGGGTATTTGTTCTGAAGAGATTCAGACAGACCTTCATAATATTTTTCCTTCTATCGAGATCAGATTCTCCATATTTTGAGAACTCTTGTTCTAAAATGGAAGCATCCTTTAACCATGACCCTGTGGGCTTCAGCAAACCCCCTCGACTAATCTTCGGGATCCAAGAAGAGCTACCTGGATTATTAGCAACACGTACAGCAAGTACCGAGATCCATGACTTTCCCATGTAGCTTGAAAGCTACAAAACTATAGTTTTATAGCTATAGCTACATTGTGGAATCCTCCAATGTTCACAGTGGTGGCTACCTCATCGTTTGGCGCATCAGATATAAGTCTGCTACCCTCTGTGAAAGCAAGCGCACGAAAGCATATCTGGGGATAGATTTTTTTCCCAGAGCTTGAAACCGTTCTTTTTTTTTTGTCTGGACATTTTGAAAATGCATGGAAATAAATATTTTCTGCATGTCGATTCCTATAAGTATTTTTACAAGATGCGACAATGCA